CCGCTACCTGACCGCATACAAGAACCATTGAACGTCTTCTATTGTACGCAGGTACTGCTGATGAAACGTTTTGGTAGATATGGAAAATTTACTTTCACATCTCATGCTTCTGGTCAGCATTTCATCTGCGCGAAATCAAACTCTACCAGATTCTCCGTGTTTGCAGGCGAACGGCTGGTGAGTTAAGGCCTTATAAGGGCTTATAATTTAAGGTGGATTATACATAAATGACTTATTTATTAAAGTCTGTCATGGAGAGTTTGCCTATGGATGTTATGAACCAGAGTGTGTTTAAATGCAAAGGTGGACATTTTTAATTCTTAAGCGTCTTTTTTGTTAACCCTTGTGTGGTGTTGGGGTCTGTGGGACCCGTTTTGAATGTTTACCAAAAAGAAAAAAATACTTTTTCTTTTAATATTTATTATTATTTCAACCTTAGATTCTTGGCCTTTGTTCATTTTCTGTGAAGAACATATAAAATAACCCATTTACATTACACATGTGGTGTTGGGTGAACCTGCAGGGAATAAAAGTGTGGAGGTGCTGTGTCCTTCACTCTGTTCTCCCTCCTACATGGCCTGCTGTTAGTGTGTGTGTGTCTGTGTATGTATGTGTTTGTATATCGCTGCTGTCGGAAGAAAACCTTGCATCTCCATTTTTGTTGTTTTTCAGTTTTTGACATAAATTAAAAATGCCTGTTGCTCTTTACATTGTGTGTAAATTTCATGAGGAATGGACTAAAAGAAACGACCCAAAATGACTTGGTAAAAAGTCTGGTTCCATTGACTTACATTAAAACGTAAAGTAGGTTTTTTCCTTCTCCTGTAAAGTTACCATTTTGCAGATACGAGGTTTTCTTCCAACAACAGCAGTGTGTGTGTGTATGTGTTTGTATATGTGTGTGTGTGTGTGTGTGTGAGGGTGGACAACATGGACAGGCTGCTGACTGGCTACAGCTGCTAAAGGAGAACGCTACGCTGACCACTTGTGATATTTTAAACATCTGGCATTTTTACATAAATTGTTATGACTGTATTGATTTAAAAAAAAAAAAACAATAATACGGTCTGTCAGACCCACTGAGTAACAACAACATCAACACCACACAAGGGTTAATTTTAAACAGGATGTGTTTGAATTCATGACATAATTCCTGATTTTTAATTAAAACACTGAAGCTATTTGCCTTGCAGGACGAGTTCCTTTGAAATGCTTGCACTTGCCCCTGTGATATTCTGTGTACTGAACAAATGACTGAAACTTTCAAATGTCAGACTTCAGTTTGAACTAGTTCCCTTTCTGTTAAAGCACTGATGTAACGTTCCATTTCAATTCTGAATCTACATGATCAGCCAATGCATCGGCACAGTAACAAAACACGTTACCTTTACTCCTGATGTGCAGAAGGTGCACATGGATGTCCAGATGGGAGAGCATGTGATTGATCCCAGCGCTGAAAAGGCAAAAGACACAGTCAAGACAATGGAATACAAAATAAGGCACCTCATTGACCAGATCCAATACATTAGCAAGCAGCAAGACTTCCAGAGGGTGAGGAATCAGTTCAAACCAGAAAGCGTTTAGGAATTACTTGCTTGACCTCAGACAAAAATGAGTGTACTTCTGACCATGTTTTACAAAAGTGTACTGTCTTTAAAGGGCAATTCCACCGATTTTTCAAAATGTCTGCATAATTCAGTTTTAGAGATATAAGCAAAGTCATTCACAGTGGTGAGATATGCAATAGATCATTTGTAGAGAAAGTTAGAGACTTTATAGTGGTGGTGATAGGAACCAGAGGTCACCATATCTACAACACAAATATAGCCATTGTATTTACTATCCAAAACCACCAGTGAACCTAAATGTACCTTCTAAGTTTCATATGTAATGATGAAGATGGTAAAATAGTGGTAAATCTGAGTAAATCTGAAAAAAAAATCTTTGGGGACTATTTGCCTGAGAACAATCTTGATGTATCCCTCCACCATAAATAGATTAAAATAAATTGATTACAATACGTTTTAGGCCAAAACTTCATCACAAAACTATCATAAAATAATGCCTCAGACATCAGGATGAGAATTCCTAACCATTTCGTGTAATAACTTCCTGTGAGGGAGCTTTTATAGGTGGACGTCTGGTTCCTATCACCACCACCGTGAACAATTCTGACACTGTTTCACACCAAACCACTCTGAATGACTTTGTTTACATCCTTACCATTTAATAATGCAAAATTTTGAGAAACTGGTTCAGCTTTAAGTAATTATTGAGTATTTAAGTGCAATTTGTAACAGTTTATTGTGCTGTTACTTGCAGGATCGTGAGGAAACCTTTCGTCAGATGAGTGAAGAAACAAATGGAAACGTTTTGTGGTGGGCAATTATACAGACCTTGATACTGCTCACCGTTGGAGTCTGGCAAATGAGAAGCTTGAAAAACTTTCTAATTGAAAAGAAATTGGTATAATAACTCAAGCTAACATGTCATGTAAAATGAGCATATTAGCCTACCTGATATTACCAACTTCAAGTTAGTCAGCCTTGTTACACTAATAAATATGTGTATAATTATGTTTTGATGTATTACTTGACTGATATAATAAAGTGCTGTTACTGTTCATAAGTTGTCCGATTTTGTACCTCAGCTTTAAAGAGGATCTTCACAGATTTTTCAAACATTCTTCATAATTAAATGGTTCAGATGCACTCAAAGTCATTCAGAGTGGTTCGGTGTAAAATGCTCCGTTATAGAGAAACTTAGAGTCATTATTGTTCACAGTGGTGGTGATAGGAACCAGACGTCCACCTCTGAAAGCTCCCTCACAGAAGGTTATTCCATGAATTGCTATACACTGCCTGATGTCTAACACATTGTTTTATGATGGTTTTGTGATAAGGTTGTGGCTTAAAATGTATTTGAATCAATTTATTTTAATCCATTGATGGCAGAGGGGTACATGCAGGGCATTATATAGTCTTATTTTGACCCCAAAGAAGAATTATTTACAGTTTATTACTATTTTGCCATCATTAGCATTACATATAACTCAGCAGGCACATGTAGGTTCACTGTGGCTTTGGATAGCAAAGAAAATGTCTATATTTGTGTTTTAGTCAAGGTGACCCCTGGTTCCTATCACCACCACTGTAGAGAAATGTGAGTCTGTAGGTTTCTTTACGATAAGCCATTTCACGTCAAACCTCTTTGAATGACTTTGTTTACATCTCAGTAAACAAAGTTTTCCAGAAATTTTAAAAAATGGTGGAATTCCCCTTTATCCCCTACTGGGCCATAGATATACATACCCAGTGCCGCGTTGTCTGTTGTTTTCTATCTGAGGTCTGCGCGTCCGCCATGTTGGAGAGGTCAAGATCCGCTTGTGAACAAAATCACTTGTACTGAGAGACGAAGAGTCTCAGGATTAAATCAGCCACAACTTCCTTATTACTCAACCGGTTTTCACCACGTTTGTTTTGTTATAATCCTCATAGATTAATCTAGACTGCACTGACTGTTCTCAGTAGCTTTTATTACTTTAATAACTGATCGTGATGATTAGCCGTCCGGACCAGCAGGAAAGTATTCAGTCTGCACCTGACGTTAAAAACCGACTTTAGCGCGAGTTCCGGTAGAAACATAATCACATACACATCAGCAAATCGACCAATGTGCGAATCACTTCTAATATTAATTCACATAGAAAAGAAAGTAAACCCCCCAAAACACAGTGAGAGGGACGAAGTTGAAGTTGGCTCTCTTATTCGCCAGCTTCTTGTTCAAGTTTTCCTGTTCCGCCTTAAATGGTGCAGCAGTCGCTCTCTGGTGCCTGAAGCTGCACCATTTAGGTTAAGGTGGAATGGGAAAAGCGGAAAGTTGGAAATTCAAACAAGAAGCTAACTTTATATCCGTGTAAGGTGCCAACGTTAATCTATTAAAATATCTACACTGATGAAGGAATGCTATAATTTACCCAGCTACAAAGCTTTAACCATCACTGTAAATACATAACTTCTAAATAAAGTTAAGACCCCCTGAATGGACTACTAAATGAAATAAGCTTAATATAAAACCAGAGGAAAAACAATCACATCAACAGGTTCTCTGTGCCTCACCAACCACACGGCCATATATACACATAAACACCACACAAACAATACGCATCACACAAACATGAGTGTGGATCGCTGCGTTCCCTCCGTTATATAATCCTATCCCGTTTTCTGAGAGCAATATTCCTGAAATAGTGTAATTTTGGACAGTATCTTTCTTAAACTGCCGCTCTGTAATGGTACTGAATGCAGTCCCGCAGCGATGTTGACCTCCCTAAAATGGCGGCGCCGTTGACGTGCCTGACGGGACCCAACGCGTCATCTAGGTATGTATCTACGTACTGGACAGTTAGTCTGCTTTCCCGCGCATCGCTAAATAGCAGCCAACGTCGCTACGAAGAAAATCGAAGCAGCGCCCTCTCGCGATAACTAACGATAACTAGCGCAGCCCTGCTAGTTTGCAGAAGTAGCCGAAAGATAAACAAATCAACAACTGCCTAAATCTGCAGAACAGACAGCCGGCATATTTACGCTGTTTCTGAGAGTTGTTTAAACACTTTATTCAGCCATTATTCAGCGAATTTCCTCGTCTTCATAAACCACGAGCTAGCCGGCTGGCTAAGCTAACAGCCCACAGCCAGAGCGGAGGAGGCTAACTAGCTAAAAAATTAGCTTTCCACCTTTTACTTGCTGCTTGTGGGACGACGTGGGTGAGTTGAGGCTTTTTGGCTAACTAGATAACGTTAGCTAAAGTATTAGGCCTTAAGAATATGTACTTATTTTCCATTTATCCGTTTACCAAGAAAATATTATCATACTGTGCTTTGTGTGCACCTTTAACTGTCAGAATAAGCTTCAGTCTTCAGGCAGTGTTTATTGTCTAGTTTATTGTCTTCAGACTGAACTCTTACCCTGTTTTGTAAAACGTCTAAAACCACACAGAATATGTCCAGTTGGATATGCTGTAACTCGTGCTTTAAGTCTCCAGGACCTGACCGCCAACTGGCCGTGACAAATTGTGGTCATATCATCTGCAACGTGTGCTTCCAAAAAGGTATTTTTTTGTTGTTGGTTTGTTTTGCTTTTTGCTTTTCTTTTTCCAGAGGTCAACTTGGCTTATTCAGCACTGTGCAAATGTTTTAGGCCAGGCGTGTCTGCAGGGTTTCAGTCCAAACAAGCAGGAGCACATCTGATTCTGCTTGTTTAATTAGTTGGTCTCGGTCTTCAAACAAGTGAAATCAGTGTGGTTTGACCACCCTGGCCCTTCGCAGATAAGACTGGACACCGGTCCATGGCCTAATACGTCTTAAAAAGAAATGTAAAGCTGGTTATCTAGCCAGTGAGTGTTGATGGGTTGTTTAGAAAACATATTTTAATCTAATTCTTCATTAAACTAAATTAAGTGTGTTGTTGATGGAGTTTAAGATGGATGGATGGATGGATGGATAGATAGATAGAAACTTTATTGATCCCGAAGGAAATTTAGCAGCCAGTAGCAGTCACGCAACACAGGACAGTAATAATAATAAGGGTGAAACAATATAAAAAAAGGAATAAATGCAAAAAACCTATCTACAGGCATATATTCAAATAGAAATATACAAAAATCTGCAATAAGATCTATAACCTGAGATAAAAAAGGCAGTGCAGTAACAGCATATAATGACAATACTGAATAAATATGTGCATATATTGGTACTGAAATAAAGTGTCTAGGTGTGGAGTGTCCAGATGTGCAAGATGTAACAAATCCATGAAATGGTTGGAGTGCATGGAGAACCAAACCTCCAGAACCAAACCTGTTCTTCTAACTGTACTTCAGACCAAAATATTAATTGCTTTTTTGAGACATTCTTTTTCCTTTGTACTGTTTTATGTTTATTATTTTAATGTTATGTAATGTTTTACATGTGAAAACATCTAACTAGTAAGATCAGTAGTTGTGAAACGTTTTTATGGTTACACACCTAAATCTTCAAGGGTGCTTTAGTAGAGGCACTGGTTCTATATTGAACCATTTCATGCTTAAATGGTTCTTTGCCTGGTGATATCATTCTTCAGATTGATGGAGAACATGTTGTAAATGGTTCTGTACCTAAAAATGGTTCTCTATAGCACTAAAAAGAGTTCTTCTATTGTCACAAGTTTGACATTGTAACAATAGCAGAACACTTTTTAGTTCTATTTTTACAAAGGTTCTGTGTAGAACCATATACAACACATTCTCCATCAATCTAAAGAACCATTTCACCATGCAAAGAACCATTTAAACGTGCAAATGGCTCTGCATGCACTCTTAAAAGAGAGAGCTCTTCAGGGGTTCTTTAGTAAAGACAGTGGTTCTATATAGAACCATGAGCACCCAAAGAACCGTTGGCATGCTTAAATGGTTCTTTGCATGGTGAAATGGTTCTTCAGATTGATAGAAAATGCATTGTATATGGTTCTATATAGCACCGAAAAGAGTTCTTCTATTGTCACAAGTTTGACATTGTAACAGTAGCAGAACCCTTTTTAGTTCTGTTTTCAAAAAGGTTCTGATTGATAGAAAATGTGTTGTGTATGGTTCTGTATAGCACCGAAAAGGATTCTGCTATTGTTACGATTTAAAGCTTGTAACAATAGAAGAACCTTATTGAACCATTATAGGACCACTGTCTTTACTAAGAACCCTTGAAGAACCATCTTATTAAGAGTGTAGGACTCATGTTTCTAAATAGAACCAATGCCTTTAACCCAGAACCTTTGAAGAACCTTTAAGTGTGTACCCAAGACTTGTACACAGAACTTTATGCAATGTACCATTGGACAAATTCTGGATATGAATGATCACACCTTGTTCTCGGTTCACGTGTTTTTGGTTTTGGGCATAAATCTGAGTTTTATCAAATAAGTTTGTGTGTTTACGTTCCACATGACTTTAGCTGCATATTTGCTTTATAAGATTAGAGCTTACATTCATGGAAAAATCTATCTTCCTTTTTTATGGAATGGGAGCTCATCAAATGTTAGAATATTCCGCCATCTAGTGGTCGTTATGTATGTTTACAGAGTGTCACTAAATGGCCTCCTTGTGTTGTTTGGTTGGGCATAACTTTTAGGAAAAGAAGGCGAGTGTCTGATCTGCAAAGCAAAATGCCAACTGTCTCCACTCTCAGACAAAGTAAGAGGCATCAGACGTTTTAATTCTTGTTGATTTATCACACTTAAGGCTACAACATATGATAAAGCTTTTTATACTCCTTGTTTCTACGCTCATTGTCCATTTTATCAGCTCCACTTACTATATAGGTGCACTTTGTAGTTCTACAGTTACAGACTGTAGTCCATCTGTTTCTCTGATACTTTGTTAGCCCCCTTTTACCTTGTTCTTCAGTGGTCAGGACCCCCATGGACCCTCACAGAGCAGGTACTATTTGGGTGGTGGATCATTCTCAGCACTGCAGTAACACTGACGTGGTGGTGGTGTGTTAGTGTGTGTTGCGCTGGTCTGAGTGGATCAGACACAGCAGTGCTGCTGGAGTTTTTAAAACACCTCAGTGTCACTGCTGGACTGAGAATAGTCCACCAACCAAAAACATCCAGCCAACAGCGTCCTGTGGGCAGCGTCCTGTGACCACTGATGAAGGACTAGAGGATGACCAACACAAACTGTGCAGCAGCAGATGAGCTATCGTCTCTCACTTTACATCTACAAGGTGGACTGACAAGGTAGGAGTGTCCAATAGAGTGGACAGTGAGTGGACACAGTGTTTAAAAACTCCAGCAGCACTGCTGTGTCTGATCCACTCACACCAGCACAACACACACTAACACACCACCACCACGTCAGTGTTACTGCAGTGCTGAGAATGATCCACCACCCAAATAGTACCTGCTCTGTGAGGGTCCATGGGGGTCCTGACCACTGAAGAACAGGGTAAAAGGGGGCTAACAAAGTATCAGAGAAACAGATGGACTACAGTCTGTAACTGTAGAACTACAAAGTGCACCTATATAGTAAGTGGAGCTGATAAAATGGACAATGAGTGTAGAAACAAGGAGGTGGCCATAATGTTATGCCTGATCGGTGTATGTCTCATTTTTTAGAGCAGCTCAGAGGTCAAGGCACTCTTCTCGGATATCAACATAATTGCAGCCAAGTACCTCTCAGAGATTAACAAGGTGATGTTTATAGTGGTTATGATATGCCTGTTTAACCTGAAGTCTTTCCACTGTAATACTCACAGTCTGACCCAATAACAGTTACTATTTTAAATAAAACACATTGTTCCCCCTGTTTAGGTCTTCCAGTTCCAGGCAAGACACCAGAAAAGGTTACTAAACCACTATCAACAAAAGGCAAGAGTCACTTTCATGAGCCAAATCATTGTAATATGTATGTTTTGCTTATAAATTATATTATTACATATTATTATATGTGTTATAAATTAGAAGTATGTCAGAAAATTCCTTTTTCTTTCATAGAGTGAAAAAATGAAGGAGACTGTGATCAAAATGCAAGAAGAGATGCAACAAATGTCAAAGTAAGATTTTCACAAGACGTTTCATGACTTCGGAATGAATTTCATGAAATTATGCACTGTTTCCTATTTAAATGTTTTGCCTATTGATTTTGTGTAGAAAAATTACAGAGCAGAATGCCTACATATCAAAGTTGGAAATAACTCTTCAGCATCAAAGGTATTTTCAACATAATGATAGTTAGAGAACTTAGATACTTGTACTAATATTGTGGGAGAAAAATGGTTTATTTGAGGTTATAGTAGTTTACTAGAGGTTTTGATTTGCAGTTCATTCATACAGGAATAAAGTGATCATTTGAGTTGCATAATTTTGCAGAAAAGCTTTCAGAGAACACAAACCTCCTCACAGCATGTGCTTTTGTAACTTGCACTTCTTCGCCAGTTCCAGATTGGCCTCACAGTCTAACAGGGATGTTCATGCATCGGCTAATTTCAAACCAGGTAAAGGTCGTACAGTGAGGGGAAAGTATTCAGAACATTTTCTTTGCTCTTATTTAACGTACTTTCAGTGCATCTGTCCACTTCAGATTTACACACAATGCATTTTCAGTTTGTACTCAGATATCAATAAAAACAGTGTGTTCATAAGTATAGACAAAGATATTTTAGACAATGAAATTGATGGGTGGTGGAGAACATGTTGTATACGGTTCTATACGGAACGTTTTAAAAAATGGTTCTATGTAGCACCAAAAACAGTTCTTCTATTGTCACAAGTTTGACATTGTAACAATAGCAGAACCCATTTTAGTTCTGTTTTCAAAAAGGTTCTGTGTAGAACCATATACAGCACATTCTCCATCAGTCTAAAGAACCGTTTCACCATGCAAAGAACCATTTAACCTTTTAAACTTCTTGAGACCACTGGTGGTTCCTAAACGCACTCTGTCATAATCTTCATAACTTTCATATTTCATAAGCTGCATTCTAAAGGTGGGAGTCATATGAGAGCTGTAACTGTCTTCTTTCCAGTCAAATAGATGGGTGATGTAATTTTAAACCCTTATAATAAAAGACCATTTTTTTTTCTACTGAAAGTCGACCCATTTTTCCACAAATCTGGGCTATAAACTATAAACAGATGGCGTCTCTTCAGTGATCTGCTCTGTAAAAATTATTTTAATAAAAAAATACAAAGAGCGTCTAAGATTTTTGGCTTTCAGCAGTGAACTGTAAGGATGTAGCAATATGTGTGATCATAAAACACATGTTCTGTTAATTTGAGGGGAACTTAAATAAAAATAAATAAATAAAATAAAAATTGACATTTATTTCATGCAGTTACTGAATGATTTGCCTTATGCTTTGGTCATGTAAATTCAGATGGACAAACCAAAATATACCCACGAGCAAAAGAGGTTACACATGCAAAGGGCTCTACATACACTCTTAAAAGATGTGGTTCTTCAGGGGTTCTTTAGTAAAGACATTGGTTCTGTATAAAACCATGAACACCCAAAGAACCGTTTGCATGCTTAAATGGTTCTTTGCATGGTGAAATGGTTCTTCAGATTGATAGAAAATTGTATGTGGTTCTGTATAGCACCGAAGAGGATTCTGCTGTTGTTATAATTTCAAGCTTGTAACAATAGAAGAACCTTATTGATTATTGTCTTTACTAAGAACTCTTGAAGAACCATCTTTTTAAGAATGTAGGACTCATGGTTCTATATAGAACCAATGCCTTTAATCCAGAACCCTTAAAGAATCTTTGCACATTAATAACGTTAATACATTAGTACTGCAAAATCACTGTGGGCAGTTACAGCTTAAAATGTTTATGATAAGAAGAAAGCTGTTCACATTTTGCAGCACTGTGGCTCAGTTTTGGCCCATTCCACTTGGAAAACCGTCTTCAGTTCCCCAAGATTGCGAGAGTTCCTCTGATGGACTTGCAATTTCCAAGTTCTCCATAAATTTCAAAATGAAAGTCAGGAGGTTGGCTGGCAGTGTAATTCCCCAGGACTGTTTCCAGAGAAGAAGCCCCACATCAGGATGCTCCCACCTTTATATTTCACTGTTGGTATTGTGTTCTTAGGATCACACATACAACTGTTCTTACTCTAGACAGAGCAGAACTATTGCCAGAGTTCTGTTTTTGATTTGTCTGAACGCTTGTGTGCAAATTTTAGATGTGCATCTCTTTTTCATAGCGTGTAAGAACAGAGATAACTGCAGTGTCGTCCTTTGCTTATTGTTCTCTGCGTAACTTCTGTTCCTGCTGCTTTCAGGTCGTTTCTCAGGTCGTCAGCCTGACTCTTTGAGTGACTGCTCATGAAAAGCATTTACATGCACTCAATAATCCGATCATAATCAAATTTCTGCCGTTATCCGTTTATTGAAATTGTCATGTAAACACTATACTCCGATCTAGAAATCCGATTAAGAAATCCAGTAAAGAGAGCTGGATTTTAGCTCAGTAGTCAGATTTCTTGGTGCATGTAAACTCGTACTCTGATTTCTTTCGGATTTCTCAGTATCCACATGTGCGGAACAGAGGACAGTACCAAAAACAAGCGAGCAACGTTGCCACGAGACGCAACTAAGCACTTTTGGAGCGGCACTGAAACCAAACACGAAATATAGGATTTAAATATTCTTCATCTCCTAGATGATGTATGTTCATATTTTCAAGTGGCGCAATGTTTAAACAAAAGCCATGAAGTTTTAGTTTTACGTTACGTTTGTCACGTCGTCTTCTGTGAGTTTATCGGCTGGTTGCAAAGCAGAAATCTGATTACTGCCTGACTCATGTAGACCTGGAGTTTCCCCATTATGTGATCACTCAACTGCATGTAAACACTTTGTTTGGATTACTGACAAAATCTGATTTTCTGCAGTTATTGGATTATTGAGTGCATGTAAACGCACTCACTGATATATATGTATATAAACATATATATGTATGTATGTATGTGTGTTTTATATTAATGAGTACAAAGTCAAAATGCACTTTGTGTGAATTGGAAGTGGATATATGCACTGGAGCCATATCAAATAACAAAAACAAAATTGCCTGAATACTAGAATACCCCATGGTAGTGTATATACACACTATGGTCTTTACTTTCTTAAAACATTTTAGTAGTACTGGATCAGAAACCATAAAAACAGTCTTCTGATGATCACTGTGTTCTGATGAGTTGTGGAGGAGTAGGAGAGTGAAGGGCCTCCTGTAGCTTATCAGGTCTGACAGGTCTTGCTAAAAAGTGTCAAGAGAAGCACTTTGTTACCTGTAGAATGTCAGACTGAAAATACGGAGTAAAAGAAAGTGAAGGCTTGCAAGATTCAGCATTATTCTCTGCAATAATTAGAGTAGGAGTAATATATGTATAACAGAAGAGGGAGCTGCTGAGTCATTGATGACATTGTAGCCATTTGACAGAAAAACTTTTGTATAGTTATTTAGTAAATCAAGCCTTGACTAATAGATAATTTTTTTTTATTAATTGATCTTTTCCACTCCATCTACACAAGTGTCCTCAGGGGTGAAAATCCCCTATTCCTCTCCAGTTTCTCTGTCCCACCATTTATCCACCTCAAGCCTGTGAGTACCATGATCTGTATCCTTATTCATACTTTTTTTGTGCATGAACTCTTTTACTATGCAGTCTTTTATTGTGTATGTTTTTTTCTTTTTTGCTGTGATGTTATCCTCATAAAAAGATAGGGCAGCTATTATAAAAGACAACCTCCCTGCTTAAATTTAGAAACAAACTGGATCATTTACAATTCTAAGAATATTTGTTCTTGCCTTCAAAATGGAATCAGTGTCGTTAAATGTTACGTGTTGTAATGTGTTCCCCAAATAGTCAACAGTCGCCCCCCTCTACATTCCCCTAGCCCCAGTCCGCTTGGGCTGAATGACCGTAAATGGTTGACATATGGGGACTGTGGCACATTGTTTGCTTTAGCATTAGCATAGAGAATGGGGGTTGTCTCCAGTGCTTTCCTCTGTCTCGCTGTAGAGCCTTCTGCTCCAGAGCTGCTATCACAACAGTTCTGCGCTGCGAGGCAGAAAGGTGATCCTGTCCATGTAAACTCGGCGTATCCTGCCTCCATTCATCATAGTCCGTGATTAGTCTATAGTTGTTTGGATAAGCTTAGCTCTTATGGAGTAGGCGCCCACCACAGAGCTACAGTGGAGCAGGGATGATGGTATAATGGTCTGGATGGCTTTTAGATGTCTGGCTTGGCTGCTTTGACACACCGCCTACTGTCATGTCACGTGATAATGATAAAGAGTAACTTGCGCAGACTGTGATTTGACGAAGGATCCCATTCGATTTTAGTTTGATATAACAGTGAACCAGCTAGGGGGCACTGCCGAATCGTTTTTGATATCGGTTGTGAACAGCAAGGAAAAACACAAGAAGTGATGAAGTGGCCTGAACTGTTTGTGCTGTGCAACCACTCCCAATCACCTGTGACAGCTATGTGATTATTCTTTATTAGGACTGAAAACATGGAGGTTGACAGCAGGGGGTTTTCCCGTAAAGTAAGTTTACGCTTCAGTTTTAATCTGATTAAGTCGAAGGCGTTTATTTTTAGTCACTGTGAATGAACCATGTCGTCATTGTTTATCTACATTTCCAGAGTATTTGTACATTATTAGTCAGCCTACCTCTTAGTGGATTATCATTAGTAGGTCTTATGTGTTGCCACAATCAAGTAACCCATTAATAGCCAATGTGTTAATTTTTTTTCTGTCACTTACAGCCTGAAATTTCTGGAAGCGTGTCAAGACTTTGTGTCATCAGCCCTCCACAAGATGGCCGGATAGGTTAGTGAACAGAGGTCAAGTTTTTCATTTCTTTCTTATGCATAGATACTGGGGCTGAAAGATTAATCGTTTTTAAATCGCAATTGAAGAGAGTGCAATTTTCAAATCACAAGAGCAGCAATTTTTTTGTAGCCTACACTCTTAAAAAAGATGGTTCCTCAAGGAAAAGGTTGGTTCTTTAGTAAAGACAGTCATTCTATGCAGAACCATGAACACTCTAAGATCCATTTGCATGCTTAGAGGGTTCTATGCATGATGAGATTGTTCTTCAGATTGATGGAAAAAGTGTTGTATATGGGTCTATATAGCACCAAAATGGGTTCTGCGATTGTTATGGTGTCAAAGCTTGTAACAGTAGAAGAACCTTTTTGGTGCTATATAGAACCGCATACAAACACCTCCATGCAAAGAACACTATAAGCATGCAAATGGATCTTAGAGTGTTCATGGTTCTATATATATTAAAGAACCCTTGAAGAACCATCTTTTTAGGTTTGTACATTGTGAAAAATGTTGTCTTAAGTTTTCAGAGTGGAAATTGAACCTAATAACACAGAGCTTGTGAAATGCCTGTAGATTAAATAGACCAGTCAGAGGCAACCAAACCTCCATGTGTTGTGACATCACAACCACGACTTACTGGCAGTTTGGCCATTCAGGGGTTCAGCCAAAAAAGCTGGATATTCTGGTCTTCTTGGCCAAAGAAATCAAGCCTGAATCTCAATTCATAAAAATAATCGCAATATAAGTTGGAAAAAAATCACAATTAGATATTTTCCCCAAATCGTTCAGCCCTAATAGATACATGGATTTTCTTTCATATTCGTTTAGTGTCATCAGTGGTGAATTTTCACAGCAATTTAGCAGACATTTCTTGAGGTTCGCCAATTAAGACTGTTTTTGTGTGAAGAATTTACACATATATTGGTTTTGTTTCACCTTCTTGGTAACTGAAATGTAGCACCATTTTTGAAGCATATAAACAACACTTAGTAAGAGCTAGCCAGGCCAAAGTCCAGCCCCCACATGATCGGTTTGGTTTTACACCAGTAGAAACTAAGCTAACCCAAATTCCTCCCATATAAATTCAAGACAGCTCATTTTTTAAACTAATCCGTCACATAAATAAACGTACTATAAATGTCATGCAAATACATTTTATCATGCTGGTATTTGCTGTTCTACTTTATGGGCAAGAATCATTTTGCCAGTGTTTTTCACTAATCCTGTTTATAACAATAATATTTTTATGGTTTCAAATTGAAAAACTTGTTTAGTCCAAACAATGTAGAAAAACTGTATTGAATTAAATGTGTCGGCACAAATTTATCAGGCATTGCATTTGGTTGAGTTGTTCACAGATGGTAGGAGCTCAAAACAAAGTTTACTTTTTCATTTGTTGAAGACGTGTCGGTCGTTTTGAATAGAATATGTATTAATCTTGCTCACATACTTTAGCATAAAAAACACAATGTATTCGGTTGTGCTCTGCTCTCCCTCACTCCAACAAATATGTAGGCCAATGTACAGTACATGTTGTCTGTTATTAGGTACAGTTCCTCACAGAGCAGCAAGCCAGAGCTCTATGGGTAGCCACTCAGTGCGAAGTGCCACTGTCAGGTATTTTATTTGCCCACTTGTTATATCATAAGAACATAACTGAGATATGTGTACATAAAGCAGCATTGAAGCATATCTCCTCTGTTCCTGCCTGCAGTAGAGAATTCTCCAGTAGTCTGAAGGAGCCCATGCTGTCCTCGTCCAATAGTGCGCTTTACCGCAGAGAGTCTCCGTGGGAATCGCCCGTATTTAAACTGGCCCCAGCTTACAAATACCCCTCCACGTCCTCTCTGGGACCTCCGCCATGACATATCATAACATCCATCTTAAAATATCACCAGTCACTATAGAACAAGCGGCCTATTTTCGAATGGCTTCAGTACGAAGCTGCCCTGGAAACACAGCAAGTTGGCCGTATGCAAGAGCAAAAATATGCGTATTTATGCTTATTCTGAACGACTGTAGCCATTTGTAATTTACCCTCTGCTGATGCCGCAGTACTTCCAGATTAACTAGCGCTTTGGGGTATGAAATAATAGCCCCTCTGTGTTGTGCTTATGTCCATAAATGTCTCCGTATTTGCAGTAATCAATCACAGGCCTAGCTGTGAATGTTAATTTTTATGTGCTGTACCGTGATTCACTGTGTGTCAGCTGCACCTGTGAATCTGCTTCGGCAGTACGCGTTTTATTCCCCAAAGTCATAAATACCGTATCACTGAATAGTTTGAAACTGGTTACACATAGACAGCATGGTGTATGACTTATTAAAGTGATTCTAAGACATTTTGGACAAGCTTCTCTGCTTTTAATGTATGTTTCCAAGAAGCTGGAGACACTGTTGTCTAATCAAATCAATATGAATTCTTTTTTTTTCTTTCGTGCATCTAATTACAACAGCTGAAAAATGGGCAAAGTGTAATTCATTTGAGCCAAGTTGGAGAAAAAAAAGGCCCTTGGGTTGGTGAAATTAGGCTGGAGATATGGAAGGACGTAAGAAACGAACTTCAAGCCAAAATGAGTCACCTCAGCAACCCAATCCAACCTGTCCCTGTAAGGCATGTTCAGCCTAAATGAATCAAACCACCGCGTGGAGAGACATGCTAAATGTAATTGTACCATTGCTCTAAATGGCTTGTGTAACATGGCAGATATGACATATTAGAACAACCTCCACAGTCTTTTTTTTTTTTGCGTTTGATCTCTCCACACCCTCGAGGCATGAAAGTCTCTCCTTACCGTGCGCTGTTCTGGCTGTCACAACTGCTCTTAAGATTTACACAGTGGGATGGCAGGCGCTCAAGTGCTGTACTGTATGCAGCCATTATTTTTATGGGGATTGTTTTCGAGACAATACAAAGTACCGTGGGGTACCTGGAGGCGTTTGACATTTCAAGGTACTGGAACTTATTTAGCCCTGCTAGTTTTCCATTGGTAATAAGTGCACCGGGATTGCTTCAGGAAATAGCTTTTTAGGCCAACTCAATACTCTGCTTTGTATTCTACAGCAAAGGGAACGTTCGAAGAGCCAGCCGCACAACCATTGTCACTGGACAAAAGAACAAGGATGTATAGGAGTGTGCGAGATGTGTTCTTGTTTTGTAGGAAACCAAAGGCTGAGGTACAATATCTGAGCCAACAATACAATCCTGGCTTTCTAAAGCGCTTTTTACCAAGTTAGATGTGTAATTTTTTTCAAACTGAAACGGGAAAGCCATTTCTTTTTGGTTGCTTAGGTCAAGTTTGGAGTTAAATCGAGGTTTAGGCTTAAAAAGTCTTATTACATTTACAAACTTACATATACAGTACTGTGCAAGTGTGTTGGACATGTGAGAAAAATATATGTAAGGCAATATATCTAAGCGGTAAGCATTTATTTGTTCAAGTAGAATAAATGCAAATAAACAAAAATGATGATTTTGTATGCACTGGTAAGTTTAATCATTTCTAACCCACTGCTTGAGGAAGTGCAGTATTCACGGTTACCATCCAGTACCTAGTTCAGCAAATCAGTACTTGAATCAGCTGCTGCTGATGGAATTGAACAAATGCATGCAACGACTGGAGTGCAGTGAGAAGTCGGGAACCAAACCTGTTTTCTTCTAACTGCATTCATCTTACCAAGATATTTATTCTTGGAACTTTTCTAAGAACTTTAATAAAACTAAACATTCCTGTTCAGTCTCACTGTTTTCAACTTTATTTTTGTTCGCAAAAACACAGTTACTGCATTATCATTACCACAACAGTCATTTTTGAAGATAAATTTAGACTTTTCCCCAGCTCTTCTTTTCATAATCATTATACTGCTGTTGGACCAAGTATTTTAGAGCAGAATATTTAAACAAATTTATTTTACAAAATATTGAATTTTGCAATCTTATTTTATTACTGCAGTACATCAAACCATTCCCTTTTTTCTGTTTACTTGTGGAACATAACATTGTTTTGGTTTATGTTATCGTTATTAGACTTTATGAGGAAACGTGAACACAACGTTAATGCAAACGTTTTTTTTTTTGTGTATATATATATATATATATATATATATATATACATATGTATATGTATATATATATATATATATATATATATATTATGTATGTATGTGTATATATATATGTGTGTGTATGTATATAATAACTGTTTTTTTGCAAAAACTCATTTCCAAAATGGTAACTTAACAGAAGGAAAAGACATACTTTACTTTAAATGTAAGTCAGTGAAACCAGACATTTTTTCAAGTGATTTTGGGCCGTTTCTTTTGGTCCATTCTTCATGAAATTTACACACAATGTAAAGGGCAACAGACATTTTCAAATTATGTCAAAAACCGAAAATGGAGATACAAGGTTTTCTCCTGATGTGTGTGTGTGTGTGCATGTGTGTATGTGTATATGTGTGTGTGTGTGTGTATATATATAAAAATAGAAAATTCAGTAATGTATATAGAGTAGGTATGTCAAACTGGGGACCTTCTGGGCCAAATTGCTGTGGATATCAGCGCCTACCCTCATCTAACACTCTGAGTTCAGTTGATGAAGACTTTGCTAATTAGCTGATGCGCTGAATCAGGTGTGTTAAATGAGCCAGTGTGCTGAAGTCTGCAGTGTTACGGCCCGTGAGGACCTGACACGTGATATAGAGCTCCAGTTGATTTGCTAAATTGTATGAATACTGTATCTGTGATGATTATGATGCTCAAATATTCATGAACACAATTTGTGCTGTTTTCATTACAATGACAACATGGGTTGTGCTATTACTACATTGAGATACATACATACAGTCTGTTTCTTGGTTCTTTCCTAGCAAACTGTAGTAGGTTCAGTTAGGAAAAAGTATCAAGGGATCAAACAACTGAAAGCATCCCTCTTAAGGCTTGAAGATGACAGCGTAGAAAGATTTAATGGTCTTCTCGTGACTGAAGCAGTCCTGAACATGTTCAGTGATGCTGAGGTCTGGACTCTGGGGTGGCCAGTTCATTGCTCTGGAAACACCAGTGGCTTCTTTGTTTGATTTCTTCTTTTTTTTCTGTCTATTTCCTTTTCTCAGTAACAGTTTCTTGACAGCAGCCCATCCTTTCAGACCGACAGTTTTGAGTTGTCTTCCCACAGTGGAAGGATGGACAGAAAAGCAAGAGTGGAGCTTGATTTCTCAGATCAATCCAAGATGAAAACTTTAAGTAGTGTATATCTGATGGTGACACGTTTGGTGGGCAGCCAGGTTGCTGGGATAAGGGATTAAACAACCAAAATCATTTCTTTTCGAAATTGAAGATGATGCTGTAGGAGGATTTTGACATCTTTTTCATCACAGTGTATTACAAATGCTTTCACTCTCTGCTTAACAATGTCTTTCTGTCTTACCTCTTGGTACGTAAGGTTTGCTCTAGTAATGGCACATCTGGTTGCTGTTTTCCCCTGACGTGGTGGTATACTTCAGTGTGGGGCAGTGTGTGTGTGTGAGTGAGTAGGAGAGAGTGTGTATGTACAATAATCACTTCCCACAATTACTACAACAGGGGGAAAAAAAAAAAACGAACTCTTTGCAGGCAGTTAAATTTCCAGGCTGCTCACCTCGATGGAATGCAAAGGAAACTCACAAAATCCTGCTGGAACCTGGCGATCAGGGAAAGCAGCCTGAAACTGAAACCTGAAGCACTTTAGAAACTTCTGCAGATCAGGCCCTACCATAACGACACTCCAAAGCACATGGAATATGAGCATCTTTCTTTTCCTATGATGAAAAGTAATTCTTAACGATGCAACAAGCTGATCATTTGCATTCAGAAACCTCTAGAGGGAGGTAGAGGAAGAGCTGAGCATGTACTAATGCATATAGCTGAGGTATGGGCATGCACACACACACACCTGGTGCTCATTAGCTGTCCATATGCAGAAAGACGGGCCCATTGTGTTGGTATGGGTTCACCTCTCCGCTGCCTCTGGCTTTGGACTTCAAACTGTAGATTTAAATAACACAAATCTCAAGCAGTCAATATTATATACATCTGAATGGGCCCAGAATAGGCAACTTAATCCAAAAGGCTGACAGAAACAAAATGCCTTCTCAAAAGTTGGCATGGCGGCCCAGTGCGTTTAATGGCACTGCTACAAATCAAGAAGACATGGCCCGGCATTAAGTTACACGTGGCTAACTACAGCTTGACGAGCCGCCCAAATGGCCGTAATTGAATGCAAGGTTACATATGTTTGGCTTATGAAGTTCGCTCAGGCAGTGGAGGAGATTGAACAATGGCTTAATTGTGTTGTACAGATGTACAGGATACATTATGCGGTTCATTAAAAGACATGCAATCGAGTAATTCCACTATTAGGATATAGCTGTTCTTAACAGAGTCAAGGTGAAGCAGATTGAAAGTGAGAGGTAGACTCTGAATGACTGGAGCTTCGGAAGCCAGAAGGCCCAAAATCTTGAGTCTGATGCCATATAAGAGTAAACAAACAGCTGTCCTTATCGCCGCTGTCGGAACAAAACCTCGTCTCTCCATTTTTGTTGTTTTTCAATTTTGACATAGTTATAAAATTCCTTTATTTTGTGTAACTTTTATGATGAATGGACCAAAAGAAACAGCCCGAAATGACTTGGAAAAAAGTCTGGTTCCATTGACTTATATTGAAAGTAAAGTATGTTTTTTCTTTCTCCTGTAATGGTGTTATTTTGGAGATGTGAGGTTTTCTTCCGACAGCAGCGATATACAACAAACAAGGCATAGAACAAAATAGTCTGTGATGTTCTCCCATTCACCGTCCTCCTGTAGCAGAAGGCCTCACCTGCATGCCCTACTCACCCTAGAACGGTGGTGCATGGAAGCTTTACCTAGAACTATTCAGTCTTGATTTTTTTTTTTATGTATTTGTACTGACAGGTCATCATGATAGGCTTCTAGCAGTAATCACT